GTCCTGATGGGAGGTGAAGATGACTCCAACTTATGCAGTACAGTGGTCTGGTGGTCCGGTGTCCTCTGCGTATTTGTAGTGTGGAACCAGGTGGCTGTACAGAGGAGCGGGGTGGGGGGTGTCCAGTGGATTGCTGCCAGGGTTCGGGCTGATTCGGTGCGTTCCGCGCAACTGGCGACTTTGTTACTGCGTCCGCAGACCTGCCTGTCTGCAGAGGCCTGATTCGGTACGTTCTGCAAGACTCTCAGGTTGCAAATATTAACCCATATAATTATGCAATAGCTAGTGTCTTTGCTTTAAATTTTTACGAATTAGTGATCAAGTATGTAAATACACAGGCATCAGAATTGACAATTAGACATCTGACACAGAAATAATTATTCAACTGAAATTTATTAACCATTATTGCCTTGATTGCCTGGCAGGACAGGTTTCATAATTCATAGTTCTACTCCTTAGGGTGAAGGGCAATACCACTTAACATGTTAAAGTAGTCTATTTCTTTCTGATTAGTCTTGAAGTTCTTCTTGTGTATTTTTTAAATAAAATAAATTTATATATCTTCTTCAGGAAAGCAAACTCAAGATTTGCTTATTAATAGTATACATATATATATATACATACACACAGTATATATAATTGTGTCAAATATAAACATATTTCAGATGTGATAAATTTTACTTTTATTACAGTTTGTTCCTGACAGCCTCATAAAACTGCATTAACGAGTATAGTATTTTTCCTGTAGGAACACTGAATTAAAAATAAAACACATTGATATGTTAATCAAATGTGACACCTTAATATTGTGAAAATAGGCCACAAGGACAGTTTTTGAGATGTCAGACATGATATAAATATAGGATAATTTCCAAGTTATTAGAATACTACAAATGAGATGATTCACTTGAAGAAAAGTTGATGTGTGCAAATGTGAAGTGTTGCTAAGTGGACACATATTTTTATCCTTGATGTATATCTATCACTTGAGCTGAAGAATTCTCTACCTTTACCCTACTCTGCTATGATAGGAACCTATGGAAGACATATGTGTAACACAGTCATGGACCTAGACACGTTTAGATCAAATTTAGAATCTATTTTAAGGTACTAAATCAGTTAATAATGCCTATTTTTTTAATTATTAATGTTCAGAAATAGAAGTACCTTGATGGGCAGATGACATTAGTTATTGCAATGCCCAGAGGAGCAGCTAGAGCTTTACTTGTCTCCTACACCCCACTTTCACCAAAAAAGGATAGTGAAGACCAAATAAATGAGAATGACATTATAATCAGATACATTTGCATTCTCTTTCAATCTGTTAGCAATAAATAAATAAATCCAATGTCTGTAGCCTTATTTCTTAACAAATTGACACAATGCCATTATTCACTTATGCTTTTCTTGTCTGTAGCAACATTTTGAATGAGCTCTCTTGTTATAAACTTGCCCTATTGATTGACCTATTTAACATAAAGGTCCTAGGTATAGTAAGTACTAAACATTTAAATAAATATATCAGTGAACATTTTTGTCTACAAGTAAGCTTACACATCACATATTTTGCTAGCAGTTACTGAACTGAGAAAACTGAATAAGTACGGATAATCCACTTTAGAAAGGTTACTCAAGGAAGTTGGTTTTCTACAATAAATGAAGCAAACATAGTCATCCATAATTGCTCTACAGATTATCTTATTTTAAACACCTAAGGCATATTGAAAGCACTTGTTTTGATGGTGATATTGATAGTAATAGCTTTCAAGATGAAACACATTTTTAAAGGGCTGACATAGTATCCTTTCTTCTCTTATGTTTTTCAGACCTATGTAACAGAAATATATATCATTTATTCTGAAGCAGCCTTAGCAGTAAACTTTTCATTTATTCATTTACAGCCAGTTCTGACTTTGAAAACATGTATTTTTTTTCTAGCTACATTGTAGCAAAAATTTTGGACATACAACTATGTTAAGACTGGAGACACAAATTTCCAAAAACCTTCTTTCTTTCTGTGGCTTTGTCCCTGAGAATTAAAACCATGTTCATTCGGCCTTCTTTCAGAATGAATATAATATCTGCCTTATATCAGTATAGATAGGGGTAGAAAGTAGTAAAGATGATAAATATAAAATAATAACTTAATATTTCTCATGATACTTGATATGTTTTTGACTGATCATTGCTGTATTATATATGGTATTAGAAAATGATGAAATATTGTAACTACCATGCCATTTATTTCATAGACATACCATGAAGTTTCAGCACTTCATCTCTAAAATTTTGGGGCATGCATTCATAAGAGTCTGTTGTCTTCACGAATGATAAAGGAATAATTAGAGCTATGTGAGTAGAGTATTAATTATTCACCAGCTAATGACTAGGGAGATCGATAATGAGACTTTCCACATCTTACAATAAATTATATGTAGTCATCATGAATTCAGTGTCAAAGCTTGAAAAGTTGGGGGAAATAATGTCCATACAGTCTCAAATTATCATACAATGACTTTTTAAAATTTCCAATAGGGACATTTCTAAAATAGGCAAATTCATAGAGACAGAAAACATACTAACAGTTTCCTGTGGCTGGGGAAGGAGGTGTGACTTTTAACGGGTAAGGGTTTTGATTTAAGGGTGATGACAATGTGCTAAAATTAAATGGTCATGGCTGTCCAATTCTGTGAATATGTTTTAAAAAGAAGACTTAGTTGCACACCTTAAAAGATGGATTTTATGATGACCCATTCCTGTAATCCTACCACTCTGGAAGATTAAGGCAAGAGGATTGGAAGTTGGAGCCCAGCCTGGGCAACTGAGCTACACAGGCAGACCCTATCTCAAAATGAAAAAAAAGGGGATGTTGCTCAGTGTGAAAGCCCTATGTTAAATCCCAAGTATGACACACACACACACACACACACACACACACACACACACACACAGGGAGGGAGGAAGGGAGAGAGAGAGCGAGCGCGAGAGAAAAATGATGGATTATGTGGTATGTAAATTATATTTTTGGTATATTTTTGAAATTCTGCTATAGAAAGAAGACACTGAACATCTGATGGCCACTACCGCAACCAAATGATTAAACTCAGCATCACTGATAGTAAGGAACACTGTTACAAGTAGTGCAACCCCATTTTCATCAGTTTTATCACAGCCACATCATATCATTAGCCACATCAAATCATTTTGGCCTAGTGGAACCATTTAAAATCATTTATGTTTGAAGCTTGCCACTTAAATCCCAGAATGGAATTAAAACTCGTAATGTCAAAATGCCTTTTCATTTTACTTTCACTGTAATACTTTTTTCAAGGTAAATCCTGTACCCTTAATAGTTCCTGTTTATTTGCCTTGGCACAGAGAATAAATAAACATTAGCATTGTTCCCTAATGAGGTTCCAAATATTTCTCTATTTTTCAAGAAATATTTTTCTTAAGATACATAATATTAGTATTATCAACTTTTAGCTTATTTTTGTTTTAATGTATTTTAATAGTATCAGTGAATAAAATGTATATATTTCCATGCTGTATAACTTGTACATTGTATGTATTCTGAATTCCCTGAAATAAAAAATATGGTTAAGTGAATTTCATATATATATATTGGTTATTCATGAGTTTTAAAATTTTTCTTACATGTTGGTTTATCTTTACTCTGACAAACTTCTAAAATCAAATGTTATAGTCTTCAGCAAACTAATTTAAAAAGAGGAAAAATTAAACAATAAAAATCGACTTAAAATATATTATAATCATCATACCACAGCAATATATGCACACTCATGTTTATAGCAGCACAACTTTTAATAGCTAAATCTTGGGACTGGTTCAGATATCCATCAATACATGACTGGTTAAAGAAAATGTATTTATGTACAGTGAAGTACTACTCTGCCATAAAGAAGGATAAACTTGTGACATTTTTAGGTAAATGGATGCACCTTGAGACCATACTTTTAAGTGAAATGAATCAGACATGCATGTTTAAATATTGTATTGTTTCACTTGTGTGAGAAACTAAAAGCACAAATAAGACCAAACTGGGTGATAGATATTGGGAAGTAAGAAGAAAATATTCAGATGAGAATGGGAACAAGGGAGGAGGGAAGGTAAAGGGAAGAAAGGGGAAAGGAAAAAAAACAAGAAAAAGAAAAAATGGAAAACTTTTGTGAATAAGGAGGGGAAGAGGGATTGAAGGGAGGGGAAGGAAATGGGGAGCAAAAAAATCAAGATATATTTTGTACAGGTACAAATTCCATACAGTGATTGTGATCATTATGTATCTCAAAAATGTACCAATAAAATAAATTTTAAAAAGTGAAGTGAGAAAAATATTTTATTCCATTCTTTCTTCTTACCTTCTGTAATCTCTGTTCAAACAAAACTTACAATTTTGTTTTCATAATGAGATGATGACAGTATCTTTGTGTAAAATGTTACTTAATAAAAAAATACTGGAGTAAGTAAATTAACTCTTAAAGGACACTTATAGTCAGAAATTTCTTGAATCTTTGTGTACCTGCATAGTTACAGTTTATATTCTAGGGCACTTTTGACAAGTGGAATTTATTATCTCTGTTTAAAAATAAATATCTTAAAACCTATGAGATAGATATAATAGGTACTTAACAAAAACATATTATATGGAAAGAAAACATGATGAATAATTTGTATCTTCATCATTTAAGGGATTTGGGATACTTAGAAATATATTATTGTATTTATTACATCTGAAAATTTTATTTTATTGAAATACAATATTTTTCCTTTTAGGTTTTCACTCCCAGTTACTGCAACAGCAGAAAACTGTATTCTTACTATTTATCCATATTTGGCAACTTATCTCGATAAGCACAATATTGTCTTAAAAGATGGTAAGTTACATATGACAAATTTCTTTCTAAGTCTCATTGTATAGGTTCTTGTAGTCCAAGACTAACATCTATAATTAGGGGGAGTATAAAATTAACACATGTTTATTAAATATTTTCCATTTATAAGACCTAACTTATCATTAAGAGTAGAATATGGTGAATATGACAGTGTCTCTTAATTCCCAAAGTTGACAGTCTAGTGGAAGATACATTAAGTAGTATGAAGAAGATTGAATGGAGAGCTGTGAATCAGTTGAAGTGGCGGAACTGTGGTTGTGGTACCGAGGTTATTGCTGATGATGGGTATCTGGAATGGCTGTATAGAAGAGATGACATTTGTGTAGAGCCTGACAAATGATGATCATGAACGGGATGGTTTCGGAAAATAACAGTACGGCAAAAGCATAGAAGTATGATGGCAGATATAAGGCATGCGATAAAGGGGTAGGGCTATATTGCCGAACCCTTTATTTTATAATACTAGGAACCTTCTGTGGTTTCAGAGTATCAGTGATTCATAAAGGGAGCAGTTATTGAGATATGAGATGAATTAAGATGGGACAGAAAATAGTCTGCAGACCAACTAGGAATTGCTGCAGAGGAAATTGTGGAGAAATTAAGATCAAAGGATAAACAGTTACAGTCAGGAGTAATAATTTCAAGAGATCTATTGTGAGTAGATCATAGTAATGTGAGTAGAGTTTATAATGACATATTATAACCTTGTTTTAGGATTTTATGTGCTCTCACCTCAAAATTGACAGTTACGTGATGCAATACATTTGTTAATTAGATAGGTTTAACCATTCCACAATGTATATAAAATTTAAAACAACATGTCATACACAATAAAACATATAAAGTTTTCTGTCAATTAAAACTTGAATTATGCCTGAGGATATATCTCAGTGGTAAAGCACTTACATAGCAAGAGCAAGGCCTTGGGTTCCATCCCTAGCCCTGCAAAAATGCAAAAACTGACAAAAAATAATGGGCTAGTGTAGAAAGGCAGACAATAAGTAGAAGAAAGAAGCAAAGAAAAATAGAAAACCCAGTGAAGAAGGCAAACTAGAAATGCAATACACGGGGGAGGAATATTGATGGAGTAAGTCCCAAAGAAGTGAAAAGATAGATTGGAGAAAAGTTTTACCTGTATAGATTGTCAAGTCTGAAATTTCATTGCTGTGTTGGAGACTTTCTGTGTTTCAACCAGTTTGCTCATATTCTTTTTTGCTCTTTCAAGTATTTATCACTCTTATGAAACCTATACAAACCTGTTCTCTCTTAATCTCAGGAAAGGAGGTTTTTTGTTTTTTTTTTTAATTTTCAAAAGAAACAGGAAACGTCAGGCAATAATACTCTAAAGTTCCAAATACCAGCATATATTGAAATTTTCATTTCTCCTTTTACTCCATTCACTAGACCAGAATTTACTACTTTCTTCAGCCTTAGGCCATCCCTTTATCTGAATCACATTACCTAGGGACCCTAACAAAGCAGATAAACTTGCTCACCCTTGCTTGTCAATTTCTGTCTCCTTAGCTGCTTTGAGTGAGTTTTCAAGAAGACAGCAGGGAGAAGAATGGAAACTGTATCTTCTTAGGATAATTTCAAACAGAGAAAAGAGAAAACTCAGGCCACACATTCTTATCTATTTTTCCCAAACTTACCATTAGATAAGTCATATCCCAGAGATGGGGAGAAAAGTAGGAGAGGAAAGTAAGCCAGTAGAATAACTCAGCTTCCTTTAACAGGAAAATAGTTTCAGGGGTATACAAGAAGCCTTATTTGGCTACTGTGCACAGCTCAAACTGTTGGATACCCGCCCCCCACACACACCTGTTCAAACCCTCTTAGGGCTTCCACATACCATATTTCTATAAGTTTCCTCTAACTTCTCTGACTATACCTTCTAGGCATCTTTCATTCATTTCTCCTCCTCCTTCTGTAGTCTTGCCTCAGCTGGAGTTTGGACCCTGTTCCGTTCTCCCTTTCATGACTTCAGTTGAAATTAATGGGCTATATATCCAACCCACATCTCTCTAAGAGATTCAAGAATTCAGAATTTGACTACGTCTGGACATCTTTCACTGAATTCATATCTACACCCTGAAAGCAACATGACCCAAACTAAACTGCCCTATCTGAAATTCTTTCATCCTTCCGTACACCCCATCTCTGTAGATGATGTACCTATAATCCAATCCAGAAAACTGACTGTCATCCTTGATGATATCTTTTTTCTCATGCTGCACTTCCAGGTCACTGACTCCCTTCACTTTGCCTTCGAAATACCTCTCAAATCCTTTTTATTTCTTTTTCTCTCTACTGCTATTACACACATTCAAGCCACCATAATCTTCCCAGTATCATTACAGATTTCTAAACTGTTCTTCTGTCTCCTCTGATATTTCCCCATTTCACAAACCATTCTTCACACTCTAGCCCAGGGATATTTATAAATTGGAAATTAAATCTTATAGTTTCTAAGCATGAATTGCTTTTTGGGCTATCATTGCTAGTAGGATGAAGCATATAGAACCCCATCTGGCATGACCCCATCCAATAGCCCCATTCTCATTTCTGGACATCTATTCTGAAGCCCCATTAAGCCTGTATGAATTATTCTAGCATCAAGAACCTTTTTGGTGATCTTTCTCATGCCTAGAGCATTCTCCCTACCAAACTGTACATTTCCACACACCTAAGAAGATTCATATTTCTGCATGAAAGATATTTGCTTGTCTCTGTTGTAGCCTCATAGCTCTGTGCAATTCCCCCATTATGGCCTTTACCACATTTTGATGTAACATGCCTGTCTATATTCCTTTCTATATATTGGCATCTTTAAGTTCTGTAAAAGCAGGAATCAATTTTCTCCTTTTCAATTTGCTGTCTACAATGCCTTATGTAGTATCTGGTAGATAAAGAGTATTTAATATTGTGGACTAGGTTGTCTAAATTTTCAAATAGTAGTAGGAAGGCATCTCTTAGCTACATATTTTCATAAGAAAATGGGTTATGGATGTTCTAGCACATTCTGAACATTAAAATATTCTTTTAAAACAATTTATGGTATAGTTTATTTGGCGAAATGAAGAGAGAGATCTCAAAATTTTAACATATATGGTCAAAATTTAAAAGGTCTTTCTGACTAATCCTAAATAATAATGTTACATTTTGCAGTGTACCAATATTCCAAGGTGAGTGAGAATTTCAAATAATAATATAAATGAATAACAATGGCTCAAGTGTCACAAACCTGGATGGAAATTCTCTTTTGTGTTCCAACCCTATTATTTTGTCATAGGATTTTATTTTAAACTCTAAGATAATCAAATTTATTATCTCTTATAACACAACATGCATATTGCAAGAGAGTAGCTGGATACTAATATCCATTTTATCTATTTCAAAGAGCTTTTGTGAAGACTTATTGACTATAAATACCTAGAATATATTATTATTACTAGGATTTCATTATGATTGCTCTTATAACAGGTTGGTTGCTTTATCACTTATATTTTTGCATAATACCCTTTCAAAAAACAATTTAATGCTCCCATATTTAATGCTCCCAATTATATAGAGTTCAACTAAGTGCTTTACTTTTATTATTTCATTTAGTCATTCCAACAATTCTGAATTAGATACCCTTATAGATCTCATTTTACAGATTAATAATATGATTAATGGAAAGTTAGAGCAGCTTTTTTCTAGGAAATACTAACCAAATTTTTGAGACCTCAAAATCTACATATTTAGCTACTCTTCTGTAGACGACAGTATTTTTAACTAGGTGTAAATGGTTCTATCATTGGATTCTCTAAGATTCATTTCTAAGAAGTATAGTGGCATAGAATTCTGGACATATGCATACTTGTTGGATAAGTGTCCTATGGCAAATTCTGAATGGCTTTGTATTGAAAGAGTGGAAGAAATTTCACTTGTACTGATTTATTCACATTTGATGTTGCCTATAAAGTAATCCTCACAACAAACTCATGACCTCAGGACCTTTGATTTCCTCTTACGGTTAAAAATACATGTCCTAGAGAATTTGTATAACATGCCCACAGTTAAACTGCTCAGGTAAACTGTTGCCAAATTTTCAAATAAGATTTTCTAACTGTACAGGCCAAACAAAATTAGACTATGAATATATACATAAACTTCTCTGTGTTTATGTGTATAAATTTAGTATACATTTCCATGGCAAGCCTTAGGTCACATCTACTGGATTTTCTTGTCCACCACTGCCTTTGGTGGTATTTAGATTTCCACTTTTTCAAATCCTAATGTTTTTGCACAGTTCTAATTGAAATACATATTAACATCTGTTCAAAATGCTCTCAGCTCTTGAACAAGCGTTGAATTCCTTTCAGACAGTTAACTAGGAAAAATTTACTTTTGTTCTTGACCCTTTTCTTATATTTTACTTTGAACAACATGTGTAGAAGAAACACTTAAAATGTTTTACATATTCTTGATTATTGTAAAGTTGAACACTTCATTCTGTAATAAGTTTTATATACTATAATGTAGGCTTTATCAAATAAATTTTACTTAATTTGGAAAACCATATCATCCTTTATTTTGGTGTGTAATGGATTGTTAGACTTTATTATGAAATTCTAGTTAAATAATTTGGTAATGAGTTCCAAATTTTTTTTTTTTACTTACTGTGGTCCAATGTGTCATTTCTAGATAAAAGTGGAAGTCCTATGAAGAATCGAGGCAGTTTTTTGCTTCCCAATTGGTACTCTACATTACTCTCTCCTGCTTTCAGTAAAACCGACACACATTAATACTAAATTAAACCATGTGGAATTTAAAAGAGAAAGCTTATTTGTTGATATGTGGCAAATATTTACTGTACTTCTCCAATCCAGTCCATGATGTCATCTACTTATTTTCTTTTTATTTAAAAGATAAGCTTTTTCAAGAAAGAAATTCATGACAAAAACCATGAATTTGTTGTTAGTCTTAAGTGGATCATCTGCTTTGGGAGTTTTCTCTAATGATCAAAAATGCAAGTTCTCACAACACCCTAATGGCCCAGTACTTTTCTCTAGGCCAAAATGTGTATCAAATAGTTACATTTATTAAGTGGCTTTGTACAAAAACTCAGAAGTAGTAGCTTATGTGCTCTCCAGCAGATGTGACAGTTATATCTAACTAAAGTGAAATATCTTCCAGCACCCTTATAAATTTGTTGTAACATTATAGGCAGCCTCTGTGCACAGTTGGGATCAATAGAACTAGGGGATTATCATTGCATTATCTAGGTAAATTCAAGGTTATATGTCTTTGAAAGTAGTGAGCACATATAAATATATGAATTTGGTATTATTTGAAATTAAATGCTCATATACTCCTTTCCTTAGATAGGAGTAATATGAAAATTTTCCTTTTTTATTGACTAGACTAAACCAACATAGTGTGAGGTTTCTAATGAGCCTGCTTTTATGAAATTTTTGACAAAAATACGATGAAATCATTCTAGATATTTGAAAATTTCCCTATCCAGAAAAATAATATCGTTTTAATGAAATGCTTGATTTGCAGAACAAATAGTTCTGAATTTGAAGCCAATATTTTGTTTCCATAATTCTTTGACCTGAGGTTTAGTTTTGTCTAATATGGAAAACCAAAGAGTTGTCGAGACATTTTTCTTAAGGAATTATAAGTGAAAAGTTCCACTCTGGGGAATGTTTTCATATACCATTATGGGAAAAAGTAAATGGAACTGCTTTTAATATTAAAAATTATAATTGTAAAAAACATTTTGAGTAATTGAAATAAGCATATTTTGTTATGTATTTTAAAATATAGTAATTTGGGTCAATTTTTTTAAGATCATAGAATACTCTATAAAATGGATTTTAATTTGTCTACATACAAATAGAAATAATTGGCAATATTTTACTCTATAGTCAAGTAGTCATTTTTATAAACAAGTGTGATTTGATTCTTAGGAATGGAAAAATTAACTGAACATTTGAACATGGAGGAAAGTGAAACACCAAATAAAGCAGATGATGGATCTTTGGGCAATGAGGAAAAAATTGAACAGTTCTTTTCTGCTAAAGAAGGATCTGTGACACATAACTTCTATCAGAAGGTTGTAAATGCAGCTCAGACGTGGTTCAGTCTCTTTGGCTGGCCTGAAGGGCCCCATTTACTTTCCATTCCAGAGACTATAAGAAGGTGACAGTTACATGTTTTTTTTTTTCTTTCTAAATTCCTTCCTACGCATCTTATTTTAAAATATAATCTATATATTTGGGATCATTTTAAGTGAAACACAATGTTAAATAATTTATTATAAATTGATTATAAGACTATTAAGAAGAGTAAAAAGATACAAATATCAGGTTTTTAGTTAACGTGCGCTTTTAAATTTCTTCTAAACCTCTTATAATATTAGGGAAGCACTGAAAATTTCTGGCCCTCAGTTTCTGAATCTGTGAAATGAGAAAGGGTTAACCATGAGTAGAAAAAATGCTTTTAAATTTGAAAAGTTTAAATCTACACATTGCAATATAAATAAGCTATCAGTTCCAGATCCAGTGTATAGTCAGTTAGAAAGATGGTGTTAATAGTAAACACAGGGGACTCACTTTTCTTTGATCCTTTCTCCTCCTTGGCAATGTACATTCCTCCCTTCTTTCAAATCTTCTTTTATTACTCAATTTATTGAAACCAAGTAAACTGTATTGGTTGTATCACATCACTTCTTTTTGTCATTAAAAGAGAAATTTAGGCACTCGCCTTATTCTAATGTTGCTGGTGTAGTGGGTGGGATCTCAGAGCTTTGCCCTCTCCTTTGTCAGCATTACATTATCTTGTAGGCACCACGGGGGAGTACAGTTAGAATTTTTGAGTCTGCTTCTATGAAGTTATTTTTGACAAAAAATACGATGAAGTAATTCTATATGTTCGAAAATTTCCCTAACTAAAAAAAGAGTATTGTTTTATTGTAATGCTTGATTTGGAGAAAAAACCCTTCTCAATTTGAAGCCAATATTTTGTTTTTATAATTCTTTGAGCAGAAGTTTAATTTTGTCTTATATGCAAATTCATATGGACTAAAGTTAAAATTTTTCTCTTTATTTGAGGACAAGCTATGTTAAAGGAAGTCCGTAGTTTTCTGATATGTTATCTGTTTTAGGTTCTTAATAGCACAATTTCAACTTAATTGATTGAGTTAACTAAGTTATTCTGTGTCCATGATATGAGAAAATTAATTCAACAGAACTATTGAAAATTTCCAAGTTTGACCATAACATCATCTGGCTCCAGGGAATTTTTTAGAGGAGTTAGTGTATTATATAACTTTTCAGTTTCCTGCTTTGGTATTTGTTGTAGTGAACATTTTATGTACTTCGAGTTAAAATTAAATTCATTAACACTTAATGATTTATATTCATTTTGAGAGAAGTCATTAGGTGAGCATTTGAAACTTATGATTCAATAGTTGTGACTAATCTTCCTTTTTAATTGCCCTGAAAGGAATTATAGTCTCCTTATTTATAATTGTAATTATATATATTTTAAGTATCAGTCATTTACTTTTTTCATATTGAAAATAAATTATTGCTTCAATTATATGCTACTATGTTTCCTAGGTCATATAATGCTGTAATTCATTTTATAAAAATTTAATTATATGCCTAATTATTTTTAAATGTAAAACTTCATCTCTTTCTTACCCCTTAATGACATCCCAGAATTTTTGCTACTAAATATCCTCATTTGTGTTGCTTTTGCAGGTCTCTGAATTTTAGTTTTGATTTTTTTATGTTATTTTCTCTTATATTGATTGATAATTTGTTGTTATTATTTATATGAACTATTATTTACTTGTCAGTTCACATTAATTGTAGGTCATTTACTTATGTTATTTTGTTATTTGTCATAAATAACACAGAGATGAATGCAGGTGCTCAGAAATGGTAGCAGACACTTATGGATATTAAACAAAAAGTTTCTCAGAAGTGGGATCATGGGACCAAATAACACAAATCTTTCCAAACCTCTTTAAGTGGTGGTTTTCTATTAAATCTATATGTTAACCCCACTAATAAGGCACACTGGCAGTCTGTTTTTTTTCTCTTTTTTCTGATAAAGTCGAGTGCTGGTACAGTTGTAAAATCTTTACTATTTTGATAAACAAGAAACAGCCCACATTATTAGGTACTGCCCGGAAAAGACACCTGTGGATGAGCAGGAATTCCTATCAAGCCCTGAGAGGGAAAGATGCCCACAACCAAAAAATGAAACTGAGTGGGCTACTGAGAAGTATCACTATAAGTGGGCTTCTCTGGGATATGTGTCCTTACATATCGTCCACATCTGGTTGGAGCTCCCGAGAAGTTCCGCATATGGAATCATGGGAATTATTTGGTGCTGTCTTGGGATCTTGTAATTAACAAGACCCATTTATTTCCCTAGCCAGCTTTGCCACACCCTACCTCCTATCTCACTCCCTCAACATCACCTGTACTACTCTTATCATCTGAAATCATCATGTTTCTGATGATATGTCTAATGGCATATTTGGGAATAAAATGTTCATTCTTTCTATCCTCTAGATTTTTTGCTATTGTATTTTTGCAATTTTTTGAATTAAATTCTGAACATAGGGATCTTTTTCATCATTCAGTGGGGCCTGTCATATTGAAAACTAATCATGTAATAATTATTCTCTTTCTACTAATTGTCTCTCTATTTTTGCTTTTATCTCTTTCTCAATCTATTAGAAGTGTATTAGAACTTTTGAGTTCGTGGCTGGGGATTTAGCTCAGTGGTTCTGGTGCTTGCTGCGCATGCACAAGGTCCCAAGTTCAATCCCCGGTACCAAAAAAAAAAAAACTTATTAGAACTGCTGAATTAATACTTTGTATCCCTCTCAATTATGTTTTATACTTTTCACCTTTTTGTCTTTTACTGTCTTATTGTTCTCCTTCATTTCCTTTTCTATCTTTCTATTAAATTTTACTTAGCATTTATAATTTTATTTTTCAAGAATTCTTTAATTTCCTTTCTTTCTACTTTATCTCTTATATAGTCTTTCCCCTTCCCACTCTCTCCTGTCTTTCTGCTTTCCATTTTCTTTAATAATACTATTCTGTTTTTGTGTTACAGATGCATGTTTTCTCAAATATCTCTTATATTACAAGATTTTTAATAATTTTTATCTCTCCTTGAATTATTTCATCACTTCTAAATTCTTTTTATTTTTAATTTGATTATTTTTTCTAGGTAATTATTTCCTTAAATACTGCTTATCTTTAGTTATCATTTATTCATATATGTGAAAGAAAGCCTTAATTTTATATATAAAAAGATGGGAAAACAAACTTTATATTTCCGGCATCAGAGAAAACATACTAAACATTATAATCTTCTCACTTCAATTTTGGTGAATTATGGGATTCAATATTTTCTCCAAATACAACTGAGACTATCTGTATACAGTGGAGCACAGAATCATTTAAATTATACTGGGAATCACACTTTAACTGAGAAGATAATTGTAGTATATATTCGTATTATCTCAAGATTTTACTATAAAATGTATGTACCTCCCTGCAGCTGCCATGCATCAATACTACATCCTAGAATGCCTTTCAGGAAGCTTATGGGGCAGAGTTCAAATTGTTTCAAAGCTAACTATTCCATCCGATTATCTTTCATTCAGTATTGTGTAGAGAATCTCATAAAAATCAAATTCACCATTCAAATTTTTGTTTTTCACAATGAGTGAACCCAACATGAGTGAAATATGTTCTCTATGCATTCCATTTTCTCCTCTGCAAAATGAAGATACTAATACATAACTTGTAATATTTAAAGGGTGTAATACCTTTAGGTAATATTGGAACAGAACTTAAAATCCAGGATTTGTTCGGTAAATTTTAGATGTTGTTAACAAATCTGATTAGAATTATTTTAACAGTATTATATGTTTTTTATTTCATTAATCATTTTACCTAACACTTTTTTATTTTTTGGTACCAGGGATCGAACTCAGGACCTTGTGCTTGTGAGGCAGGTGGTAGAACCACTGAGCTAAATCCCAGGCCCCCAACACTTTCTTTTGAAGTAGAGAATCAGTTTAGTCAGTTTAGTCACCATCGAGTACTTATTCAAATTATACTTTATTAATATTTTCATCTTTCATTGAAGGGTTCCCCCAAGCTTGATATAACAATTTACTAATTCTAATCATTTTGTCAAGATATATATATATATATATATATATATATGAGGAAGGGAGGGGAGGGGAGGGAAGGGATAGGAAGGGTAAGGTAAGGTAGGGGAGGGGAGTGGAGAGGAGGGATGGGGAGAAGACTTGCATGATATATTTCTTTGCAGCATTGAGTTCCTGGCAAGCTCATTGCCAAATTTAATAATATAAAAATAAAATATCACCTTCATTTCTGGGCATTCTGCCCATTCATACTGCCAACAGTGTCCAACAAATTCACAGAAACTTGCCTTTAGATTCAAAATAAGTCTTAAAATGAAAGTGATTGTATATTTGATTAAGTATTGAGTTTTGAGTTCTTTTCACTTCCGCATGTAAAAGTAATAAAATATTTTTATTTTCAAAATAGTTTCCTTTCTTAAACATTTTACTGTTAGATTACTAGTGATAGTGGTAAATGATGTGTGACTTATTCACCAAGAAAGATAGATAATAATTACTCTGAGCTTTTTTTGTTTGCTTGTTTTTGAGACAGGATCTCACTGTTAATTCAAGCTGGCCTTGAGCTCACTATCCAGCCCAGGCTGGCCTGGAACTCACAGCAATCCTCCTGCCTCAACCTTCCGAGTGCTGGGATTACAGGCATGTGCCACCACACCCAGCTTACTCTGAAGTTTTTGCATCATTACATTTTCAATTTCCAAAGCTGGTGAATTCTTTTAATGGGCAAAAAGGCTAATATCATTTAATATCTTAAATAAAAGGAGAAACCAATTATCAAGGTTTTACTTATTAAAATCTACATTTATGGGATATACATATAAATAAACATTAAAATGAAGAAAACGTTTTACATCATAATTGGTTTCTCAATGGGGAAATAAGTTATATGACTAATATTATTGCCTTTTACATTAACAAATCTTTGGGCACTAATTTTAACTTGTGCATTTCAGTTAATATCTACATGCTAAAGCATCTTTTAAGGCTCAGG